TTTTTTTTTTTTTTTTTTTTTTTTTTTTTTGTTTTCTCATTGGTATTCTGGTTTGGATGCTTTGAGTTTTTGTGCTTCAGTTACAACTTAAATTTCTCATACTTTTCTGTTTTGTTTTTCTTTAACAGATAATTACATTAATTTTTAATTTTTTTATCTGTTTCTCTTTTTTCGTTTTGTAAACAGTTTCGAATGCAGGCATTTTAGTTGGTTTTTTATTCTTATTAAAAAGTAAAAAGTTATACGACATGTTTTCTGACTAATTTGATTTCATATACACGTTTATTTCATGAGTGATTGAAAATTGTATTTTTCTTGATTAAAACTGCTAGGAGGTTGGAAGTTAGGAACATTTACTGGAAAATTTCTAAGTTGCTAGAGGGATTTAAGCTTGTTAGGTTGTTCAAATGCTCTATTTAAATATTTTTTGATTGATTTTTTCATTTTAAAAAAAGTTTTATTGATTAAGTTTTTCAGGGTTTTTAATATCTGAAGATGAACGGTGTTTCTGGGTTCTAGAATGATTGCTAGTGCAAGCGGGACAAGAAGCAGTATTTAAAATTGGTTGATTAATATAGGTCATGGGCTGGAGTAATAGAGAGATAGGTATGCCTCTGAGTAGACGGCTATATTGCAGGGAGAAGAAATAGTCCCGTTCCTCATTGGTCTAGCCTCTTTTCAATATATTCGCCAAATTTGGTGATTGGTTTTCTTCAACTTCTTCCCACTTTTTTTGTTTTCAGTTATATCGCTATTGTCAGCTTGAAATCCGTGGTGATTTTTTAGTTGATTAGAAGCTTTAAATAAATTTGCTCTAATAAGGGGGCAGTACAAATGCAGATTTTTGTTCATTCCCCTTTATTCGGTGATATCAGTTACATTTTTCGTCTTACCAGTTTGTTACGACTATTTTTTACTGCTTGGCTCATCTCATTTACTTTCTGTTATTTTGACTGGTTTTTCAGACATTTCTATAATTTCTTAAGCTTTGCATGTATTGACCGCTTGCATGCGCATGGTAACTTGGAATTTTTCAACTTTAAGAATTTATCAGGGCTTTCTCTTCTGCTATGTACTGTGAACAGTCTAAAGAGGAAAAAACTGGGTCAAAATTTGTTATTCGGTTAAAAAAATTTTGGACGTTATGGAAAGTTATCAGAAAGTTGGTGCAGTCGGAAATCAGAGTTTGTCGTGATTTGCAGCACTAGCTTAGTTCATCAAAAAATTTTACTTTGTTTTGTCTGCATGTTTATTTTTTTGTGCATGACGTTCAGTTTGACAAAAATCATTTTTGTTTTTGTTTGTTAATGTTCCTGTAAACTTTGTTACTCATTTAGGCAGCAGGTCGTCTTAATTGTAATGCTTAGTTTGTTTTTTCGCGACAGCTAAGTTACTTGGTTTGGTTACTTGTGGCAAGCGACGCAGAAATTTATGTACTTTTTACTTCAGTTCTTTGAAAAGTTCTTGAATTTTTAACCGCTTTTTGCGGAAAGCAGTACTTTAGGGAAGAACTTTAAACGCTTGAATTTTTATATATCTTAAAAAATTTTCAACAAAATTATTAGGGAAAATGTGACTATTAGTTTCAATTGCCTGGCAGTTTTATTGGTTTCAACTGAATTTCAAGGAATTCCTTGGGAGTTTAGTTGTTCTTCAGCGGTCAGAAGTAACTTTTAAAATTTTTTGTTGGATTCACAAATTTTTGTGTATTTTTTAGGTTAGCTGGGAGTTATTTCATTTTTTTTTGACTAATGTATTTTCAAGGTGTTTGTAGTTGCAAGTTTAATTGAGCATTTGTTTTTGCAATTTCAGTTTTTGAAGATTATTGCAACAATTTTCTTTCACTCTCTTCATTGTTTTGGGAGGTTGACGCTGAGTTGAAAAAATTTGTTTTTCTATTTAGCATGATTGTTATGGAACTTAGAATCGAAATTATTGTAGAATTTGGTGGATTTTGCCAGAATTTTTTCATTTTTGCAAAGGGGACGAAGCAAAATAGTTATTTTTATGATTTTGCTATTTGGTGCAGAGCTGAGTTCTTGCTTCTCTTCTATTTTTAACTAATTGAGCGCCTCAGTACAAAATTTTCTTGAAGCTTTTTTTGTTTTACTAGGTTCAAAAATTGATTAACAAGTTATGAGAATTAAGGATATGGA